GGGAGCTCTCTACGGGGCTTCCCTGGGGCCGCTTCTGGTGCCCACTGCCTCCTGGCCGGGGAGGAGGATTTTCCTGCGCTGTCACGCTAACGAATCATCATTTCCACTCTGTGCTCTGTAGGTGATTTTTGTCTGCCATTGGTGCCAGGCTCGGGCATGGCAGGCCAGGAGCCAGGGTGATGGGCGGGGGGTGCAGGACCTCATGGTGGAGAGGGTTCAGCTTTGATGTCCCACGCAGGTCTCCGAGGTGCGGGTAATGGAAACTTCTGGGCAGCTTTATTTATCCCCCCCAGCTCTGGTTACAATCCCAGCTTGCCTTCCCCATTGTCCGGAGGGAAACTCAAGCCTCAGCTGGTGCTGGTGGGGCTGGTGGGCAGCCGGGGTGCCAGGTGGGCAGCGGGTGCCACCGTCCTCCCAGGCAGGGTGGCACTGCTGGGGGCTCAGCGGTGGGGGCCTGCTGCCCACCCTGTCCCAAGACACCTTGGGGGGGTCGGGGGTCGGCAGCTCGTCTCTGCAGAGGGTCCGTGAGGTTGGTTTTCCCCCGGGAATGTTTTTGGTGGGTGCCCAGTGCTGGGGGAGAGATGGGCTCTGCAGGCAGCATGGGACCTGTGGCAGACAGGAGGGACACGAGTAGCCCTAGCGATGCTGACTTGTCCATCAGCTAATTGCCCATTAATTAGACAGTGTGCGGGCTGGGCCCATATGATGGTCTCTGGGCCTCCCCCCGCCCCCCCTTACCCAGGGAGCAAGAAGCCAGCGAGGGACCTGCCTTTCAGCACCCAAATTAGCACTCGCTGCCTGCCCACACTGGCGCCCCTTGGCCCCCATCCCAGTGAAGGGCTGGTGGCTCAGAGCCCCAGTGGGAGCTGCAGCCCAAGGAGTGGTGCGAGACCCCCTGAGGTGGTGGCCCTCCACCGGGGCTTTGTGCTGCTGCGACTGATGGGGCGAAGCGCCTTTCATCCACGCCTGGGATGGTGGGAGAAGTCGAGTGACTGATCTGAGGAAAGCCTTTGCCTCCCTCAGGAGCCAACGCGACAGCCAAGGTGCGAAGGAGCCCACGGCCCGCACGATGCTGGCCCAGGGAGCGACACACTGAGAGGCTCACGCCTGATTTGGAGTGCTGGGAGGCAGGTGTACCCCTGGCTGGGCTGGAGGGCACCCAACCCCTTCCCCGGCATGATGGTGGTGGTGGTGCCAGGGGAGACACCACCCCCCAGCCCTCACTGCTGCGGGGGGGTCACCTCATGGGCTCCCCCCGCTGCCATGGGAGGGTTTGTTTGGGCAGATAAAAGGGCCGTGACCCGGGGCAGGAGAGTCAATATTGGCTGTGGGAGAGGCTCCAAAGTCCAGCCGGGGGAGCCGGGCATGGCGCAGGGCGGGGGCTGCCCGGGGAGGGGGCACCGCCGCGTCCCTGTGCCGGGGGTACAGCCCATGTGCCACCCCTGCCTCCCCCCCAAGCCTGCAGGCAGGCC